ATGGAATTGATGTCCTTTTCAGGTTTGGGTAGTAGTAGATGTCACGATGGACATGATTTCCACCAAACTGCTGAGCACAAAGTGGAGAAAGAGAGAGAGAGAGAGAGAGAGAGAGAGCAGCTTCCACCACCAAACTGCTGTGTTGATGGTTATGAGTGAAATGATGTGTCGTGGCCGATTAGTCAGCATGGCTTGATCCACATGTCGATGTCAGGAGTTTACGATCAATTGGAAGAAGTGCCAAAGTCGATTATGTCAGGAAGTCGGGATGCGGTGGCGCCGTATGAGGGATGGCATCTCTTAGTCGGAGCGCTGACTCCGTCATTCGGGAAGGCGTCTCTCGATCGGGATGCTGACTCCGTCTTCCAAGAAGGTGTCTCGTAGGTGATCGCGCTTATCGGGGGTAGTCGAGCTCCTGCATAGAAGGTCCTCGTCGGGGGTTTTCGACAGTGGCCCCTCGTCGAATAAGTTAATGGTTGCCTCACTTTTTTCCGTCCCCTGGCCAGATGCCGGTCATGGGCTTTTATACCATCGTGCGAGGATCGATTGTACGTGGATTTAGCTCATCAATGTTTGTAGGAATATCAATATATGTCATCGTTATAATTTTGATCTCTAAGTCGCAAACGAACATCTTGTAGCGAGACTCAAACTCCTAATACGAAATCGATGGAGGATTAATAAGTGTAATATTTTTTATATACATATAAAATGGGTATTTCTAAAGCTGAAACGTTGACTTGTTAGTGGTAGAGCAACTTTAGGATTGTATTCTTATGGCCAAATTATTTCTCATAGCGTATAGTTTTTCTCTCTTCATTCTTGAATTAAGATTATCAAATTATCGACATCTTTGATTCGTAAATTCTTAGGATTAGAATGATTGTCTTTTTACGAGTTAAGTTATTCTAATATCCAAAATGAGAAGCAAGATTAAATTTAATAGGAATAATTGATATAACTTATTTGATATTATTTATTTTACTTTTATATTTATATCGTAATTAACACTATTTTGTATTTGTATGAAGCCAATCGAAAAAATCCAAGGATTCATGAGAAAAAAATTTATTACAAGTAGATTTAGTGTATTTTTATTCGATCAAAAATTTATGGAACTCTCGAAAAAGGAATGTTTTCTTAAAGGATGGAGAAATATTTTATTTTCGAATGAATTTTGGAACTCTCTCGATAAACAAATGTTTTGGTGATCTCCGAAATGTTGTCAATCATTGGCATCAATCATTGATAGCTTCTCTTCCCTCATTAATTGCCTATCTTTTTACATACCTAAACCTTCACATCTTCCCAATCCTCCTCATGTGTGACAGAGCCACAAGAACAAGATTTCTCTCCCTCAATCTAATGCAACGAAGACATCAACCTACCAACTACCATCGGCTTCACACCTCTCTCTCTCTC